TATTGATCTATTCGCTTGCAGTCGCCCACTACTCTTCAGCGATTTCAATCGATACGTATCCAATCCTGTCAGCGCAATCTCCTACTCTATTACTATCCTAATATCCCTTCGCCTACTATCTTAATCTCCCAAGTCGCGAACTATGAACGCGCCCTTATGGTGCTGTTGGCGATATCGCAAGATACTTGGTCATTGTTGTGAAGACGCATTTATAACCATGCGGAATATATTCTTACCAGGTTTGCTCCGCCCGCTATCGCGCGCATCACAGGGTAGGGAGGAACCACGGAATAGCAGCATGACGTACTCCATTAACCACCTCACTATTGAATGTGTTATACCTCCTTATACCCCTTCTCTCCGGCGCATGGCAGCGCCATGTTCTCCCTCCCTTTCTCCTCTCCCCCTTCCCTCCCTCTTCCTCTCCCTCCTCCCCTTCCTCTTCTTCCCCCTCCCCTCTACCCCCCCCCCCTCCCGGCTGCCACGGCAGCACCATGTAGAATGAGACTGAGTGTGCTCGATCGGTGTTTATATAGCCGCTGTGGTGTTATCATGATCATGACATCAACATCACGAAGTGTTGCCCTTCGTACTCCCTGGTTTTGTGAGCGGTCGGTCCGGACGGACAGAACGACACACACACACACCGACAAACCGACACACCAAAGTTCTGGTTTATATAATGAAGTGAAAGTGATTGATCTTGGCTCAATGTTCCGTAAAGAGGAAAGAAGTACAGTTCAGTACAGCGCGCACTTCCAATACATGTCCATGAAATGGCTGCTGGAAGCTGTACTTGTTGATCACAGCTAAGTTTTTCAAAATGCTCCAGAATTTGGTGAAAATCTCAGAGACAGTGCAGTCTGGGCAGGTGTCGGACTTTTAAACCGCCGCGCATTCGCGCGAATAGGAAAGGGCCTCTTGCGCCGTAGCGCCAAGCAACACGATCAGTTGTGGCGGAGTGCAGCACCAGTGCCACTAATTAGGATTTATTTGACTGATACAAATTGACTGATGAACTTGAAGTTAAGGTGCGGTGTGTGTATGTGCCAATGCGACTTGCGCGACGGCCGGTTGCCTTACGGAATTTAATGTTGACAATCGTACAGATGCACTGGGATCCATTGTTTTTTCACACCAGAAGGCGTGGCCGCGGCGAGTATGGACGAGTCGGTCGTGTTTCCGCTGTTGGGGGCGGCTGCGCTCAAGAGGCGCGCGAGCACAAAAGACTCGTCCGCGTTCGCCGCGGCCATGCCTTTCCAGCAAATTGCACTGACGCGCTCTCTTACCTGTTTTTTTTTTCGAGGTATTATCAATGGGGTAGGTGTTTCCATTTATGTAGCGCACATTCATAAGAAGGCATTGTTGTTTGGGCTAATTCAGCTGATCCAGATCGCGAAATAAGATATTACCTCATTCGCGAGCGCGCGCGCTTTTCGAAGCCAGTCCCTTTAGATCAGAGCTGTTCAAGGCGATTATGAAGTATGAGCCACTGGCGACTGACACTGTCCGAAGTGAATATCTTCGTGTCACCCACCGGTTGCTGACATTGTCGCGAATGGGTGAAGCAGAATTCTGTCTGCAGTATGTGCTCTGTTTCCCTCTTCAAAAGCGGTCAATTTTACATGATTATTTAAAAATTATTTACCGGATCACATCGTAGGAGAGAAACTAGCAAAGCGATTGTGCAGAAAGCCGCTATTCCTGTTGCTATCCGAAATTCCAGATGACGATTTACAACATCGCGAATGAACGCACAGAGCATTGTTGCGCCACCTGTACTGAACATTACATTTACCGTTGTCAGATTACTAAGCGGTACTTAAGAAACCTCACCAGCGGATGTGAGTAAGCCGGTAATTACGCATAAGGCATTGAACAAAATGATCCAGAAAGGATTCCGATCCTTGTATAGTAAAACTTCCGTAACCGTCCCAACACCATATAGAAAACCTAAGGAACAATTATTGCATTTTGACAACAGAAATCGAAGCTGTCGTCATTTCCTTCCAACAACAGAGCAAGTTTCGTTGAAACACATTCCACGATAAGCGGGCTGGAAGAATTATGTGAGCGAATTGATTCATAAGAACGCAAGAGTTCGCCCATTTTCTCGGCGTGTCAATACACTGCGTCCCATAATTATACGTCCACCTAAGAATTTCCCAAAATCTCACAGATATAGATGTTTTGAAAAAAGTCTTCAATGTAGCAATGTGTCATATATAAATGCGGGATCACCAATGAACATCAATTTTCTATTTGAGATCACAGGAATTTTTTTCCAATAATTTTTGTGTAAAAGGCCACTCAGCCGACGTCCCAAAATTATACGTCCACCTCACGTTTATCGATTACTTTTTCACTTCTGTTCCACGAAACTTTTTCATTGTGGTAACACTTCACTTCTTAAGGGAACAGCATAATAAAGACTGCTGTTGGATTTTGAGAAAGGGAAAAATGTCGCAAAAACTGTTGAACAACGCAATCGCACCAGATTTGGTCCAGATTCACGCCAAGCTTGAGAATTTTTTCAGGGTTTCACATGATATGGAGTTTAGAAGAGCTCTAAAAGTCTCTCATTACTTTTCGATGGAAACAAAGGCCGTGTTACAGAAAAAACATCCACTTTCATCCAACGGTGCTCTGTCATCGAATCTTCTTGAGAACTTTATGCCTCAACAGACTTTTGTTTCATGCATGTAAAGGAATCCCAAGATCGTTCTTGATCGGAAAAATGTGAAAGACGTTCATTGTGGCAGGAATCGTGACGAAAACTGGGCTGATTTTTGCATGAAGGTGCAGCCGAGCCGACTGGAGCAGGGTCCTTTTTCCTTGCTATGCATGAGTGTTTGTCTGTCTTTCTTTTCAACATTTTCTTTCTTTTAGTAGTGCTTCACTAAGAAAAAAGCCATTAAGGGAAAGGTAAACGTGAGAAGAGAAACAAACAAATGCCAAAACATATCGGGCAGAAGCGAACCTTACTTCAGTCGGCTCGGCTGCACCTTCATGCAAAAATCAGCCCAGTTTTCGCCACGATTCCTTGCCATAATGAACGTCTTTCACATTTTCCGATCAAGAATGATCTTGGGATTCCTTTACATGCATGAAACAAAAGTCCGTTGAGGCATAAAGTTCTCAAGAAGATTCGATGACAGAGCACCGTTGGATGAAAGTGGATGTTTTTTCTGTAACACGGCCTTTGTTTCCATCGAAAAGTAATGAGAGACTTTTAGAGCTCTTCTAAACTCCATATCATGTGAAACCCTGAAAAAATTCTCAAGCTTGGCGTGAATCTGGACCAAATCTGGTGCGATTGCGTTGTTCAACAGTTTTTGCGACATTTTTCCCTTTCTCAAAATCCAACAGCAGTCTTTATTATGCTGTTCCCTTAAGAAGTGAAGTGTTACCACAATGAAAAAGTTTCGTGGAACAGAAGTGAAAAGTAATCGATAAACGTGAGGTGGACGTATAATTTTGGGACGTCGGCTGAGTGGCCTTTTACACAAAAATTATTGAAAAAATTCCTGTGATCTCAAATAGAAAATTGATGTTCATTGGTGATCCCGCATTTATATATGACACATTGCTACATTGAAGACTTTTTTCAAAACATCTATATCTGTGAGATTTTGGGAAATTCTTAGGTGGACGTATAATTATGGGACGCAGTGTATTGACGATGCAATCTTGATAAGTCCTACTTGGCTCAAAGACTCCAATTTTTGCCCATGAAATTGACTTCGTGGGCGGCGTCTGCGTTTCGCTCGTCTCCATGCTCTATCTCCCCAACGTTTACCCTGTCGCCTTGGCGCCCAATGTTTCTCCCACATCAGCTTGTATTTCACAACGCTCGAAAGAACTGCCTCGCTTAGGACGTTTCACATGACCTCTCGTCTTTTCATTAGGAACCTAAAAAGCTACAGTTCCATATTTAATCTTTACTGCTCATATGCGTGAAATGCATCCTTGAGAGTCGTCTTCATTACAGTAGCGGTCAAAAGTTTGGAATCTTTTTATTTTTGATCTAACGCGACCGACACTTGACAAAATTGCCTCAAATTCAGTTGTCACATTAGGGAAAAAAAAAAAATCCAAGGGTCTCCACTATACGATTAACGCAGTTATAAGTTTCAAACTCTCAAGTACGTGCTGTATATGGGGAGAATTAAATTTTTTTTTTCAATTAATGTGCGCGCTCAAAGTGGTCGGAAACATATTGCTTTCTTCCTCGTCTATTAGGAAATACATCTCTTCTATGTTCTTAGGTTTCTTTAATTTAAAACTCTACCATGGAAGTGTTATGAAATTTCAATGTATTCTGCAAAGGAAGCAGAACCTTCATGGAGGTCCTTCTTTAAGCTCTACAATCCGGAAAGCAAAATTTAAATGGTTTCCAAGTAGTTCAGACTCTACGGAAGCAATATATCGAATGTTTCTTAGCGTTATTGGAGTCGAGTAAGCATAAGAAGAATGATCATTCACAAAAAAGTCTTCACAAGAAAATTGGCCCTCCTCAAATACTTCGAAGGGTGGTTGGCACGTCCCGTACCCCCGACATCCCCAACTAAGAGACGAACTTTTTCTGGTTTTTTCCTAATCATATGAAAGTCCAAGTGCAGCACAACATCGGCCGCGACCTGGTGAATATTACGGATGATGTCCCAACAAGAAGCCATTGTTGGGCTTCAAGAGCAGGATGGCCCAACTGGCTTCCGCACACTAACGGCTAACATGGACCGAAGGCGAGAGGTAAAACTTTGTCCTCAGCGACGAGTGGGATTTCTGTCTTCCTAAAATGATGTTGTGGACCCTGTGAAGTGTTCTGTCAACATGGAAACCTCATTTTAGCTACCAGATTCCAACAGTCAGAAATAGTGGAAGTATTGTCATGGATGAAGATGTGTCCGACCATTCGGCGATTCCCCAGTTCTAGTATCCAGCGAAATGTGGGTTGGGCTAAGTACAAGGATAGTCTGTAGAATACAATGCTTCCCTTCGATAGTCAGAACTAGCCGGAAAAGATGGGTTTTCTATCGCGGAAATGACCCATGCAGGCCTACCTCCTCACTGCCGCCTTCCTAAACCCAGAAAAAGAAGCTGTTATGAAGCGACCAAGTCAAGATCTGAAGTCTAATTGAGTTCTACATCCCACGGAAGAACTGGCATGTCGCTCAACCCACATTCCAGTTAAGAAATCCCACCAAACAATGTGATTTAGTTCACAGTGTGTAGAGGTTCGACTTAAAATCCTAAAATTATTTTATAATCAACTCCATGTCAATAAAAACGACGCTAACATAGAAATTCACAGCTACTCATCGAATAACTAATTTATCATGTGGATTCGAGAGCTATTTTGCCGAATTCGCTTTAGAATTGAGGAAGTTTCCAAACTTTTGACCGCTACTGTATGTAGCTTTCATACGGGAGCGGTATTTTCAACAGCCTATGCATGTCACCCTCAGACTTGACTTCTTGATTTCACCATTACTGTGAAGTGGTCGCAACCGGGTAGCGTTTTTTGCCGGGATGGTTGTATACATATTTATAGATGAAGCTCCAATAACTTGCCTGATTTTCTTGGTTGGTAGCTGGACCCGAACCGCGGTGTACTCTCGAACACACTGGCTATACACAATGCCGTAAAACAACTGAAGAAGTTCACAAAAACGTTATTTATTGCGATGGCACAAGTAAGCTGAAAAAAGCGTTAATCAGTTATCATTTATGCCTGTGTCTCAAATTCGAATCGAATTACTATAGCTGTGTGCTTTTTTGAGTTTCAGGTTAATCCTCCGAATATATTCGGGCTCAGACCCATTTAAGAAGCCCTTACCATGGCTAGAAGTGCTGGGTACGCAAGTGCAAAGGTAGCGCCACCTTTCTACATCGAAACGCGTCACTAGGACCCTAGGCGCCATGGACTTCTAACAGACTCCACCAAACTTAACATGGTCCGCCCACCGTTCGATATCTTGTCTGCGTCGCTGCGTTGATCTGCTATGCTCTCTCTTCTTGGACCCGCGCTCACATCTCTCATCTCCCTGCCGGCCTTTTGAACTTCTCCACAGCATAGAGCAAAATGCTCGTATTTCCTGTGTACTTCAGGATTTTCTTTTCTTTCTTCTCCATTGGCGGTCCACTCCCATCCCTACTTTCACATTTGAGTGAAATCAACCCATCAATTTAATCCTGATTCTTGCCTTCGAAAGGAAGCGATTACGATGAGGAAGGGCCCCATCGGGAGATCTAATGCGCCACAGAAGCAGTTACTTGGCTGCTAAAGACGAAAGAAGCGGCTTTCACGCACCAGAGCCTCGGTTACTGAGTGGGGCACCACACAGCAACTCGCCCCCCTAAAGCGATTACAGTCCTACTTATTCAGTTGGTAGCTGGGCAATCTCTTTGCTTTGCTTTTCATTTTGAAGCATCACCCTGCTGGCACTGTATCTTCCAACTTGCCTATGTAATGGCCTATCAGTCGAAACACTATGCTTGTTAGCATGATACGGCTATCACTGTTAACACATCCCAACAACTTCTTCCTTTGCCAGGGCTGAGAAGGGCGTACTGCGCAGTTGTTATCCTGGTTGGACTCTATCTTTTGATTTACGACTGTGACAGGACAAGTAAGACCACGTTCCGTTGCCGTTGTTAAATAATTGTGAACCATTTGCTCCCGCACGCAACCCGCGCCATCGAAGGTGGGTTTCAGTAAAACTGACACTGCAGAATAGTAACTCACGTACTGAGAAACTTACATGTATTGAGCCGTTTGGTAAATGGGCACATGTTGAAGTGCCATTTCGCTGTAAGATTGTCGCGTAATGGCGCCGCAGTATGCATCGGTTAAAAAATGGTACTCACATAACTCGTAACAGTTAACATTGCTGATCGAGCCTGTCTGGCCGGAAGTGGTGCATGAGCTGCCGAATGGCAGGAACAATGGCTGCGCATCACCACGCACGGTGTCCGGATCAAATCCTTGGTCGGAGTCGCCCGGGCCAACCAAGCCTTCCATCCCTCCGGGGTCGGTTAATTGGTACCAGACTTGTCTGGAGGAAAAACACTGACTTGAACATCGGCTGGCCCCCGCAAGTCATTGTATAGGCCACATCGCATTCAAATGCCACTGCGAATGTACAAATGGAAGTAGAATGCGTGCCGCATCCCAAAACGGGATTGATCAACGGCAAATGCTTTATCCTTTTATCCTTTTCAGCTGGGGATTTAGCGGTTTATAGACCCTTTTTCCACCATTGAAGAATCGGTGTATTAGTGAAGTATAAGGAATCAATAAGCAGGATCAACCGAGCTACGATGGAAATTGGAAATATGATTTTATTCGCAATTAGTCCAAAGTGCAGATAGTGGAGCAGCTCAACTTCCTTTGCTTCTTTAGATGAAATAGTAAAGAAGAACATATTCCCGCGTACTAGATGGTTTAGCTTCAACTGTTGCACACTCAATGCGCTATACTTATCATGCAGTCGCGCTTTCAAACCTCTTCGTAAACTACAATTCCCCTCGCATACTTGATCCGCTTGCTGTGATAATTGCCTGTGATAAACAATTAATGGATGAGAAGTGCATTCGATTCGCTCTTAATATCCTTCATACTGCTTGCAATCGGTGTTCCAATGTCACCGCGAGGGCCGCAACGAAACTGGTGGTATCCACACTTTGACGCCCCTTATCAGTTCTTATCAGTTGCTACCACATTCTTCACTCAACTTCTTGGTCCCCGCCTCACCCCACATATCATACATGAGTGCAAACTCTCCACCGTCAACGCGCAAACGGCGTAACGAAAAAGTTGACATCAACGGCGACGCGTTAACCACCCTATCGACTTCCATCCTTCCCCCACCCACTCCATGTCCCGCCCAGCCCGTATACTATCCTAATAGAAGTTGAGCACTCAGTCAAAAGGAATGAAGTTACGAATTTTCGGTCAGCCACACAACACTGCAACGCTGAGCCGATTATATTAGGTCATCTCATTCAAACACGTCCATGGTTTTATTCCAATAAAATGAACAGCAGGAAAGATAAAAAGCTAATACTTTGGTGTTAAGTCAAGCAGATCTTGTCGTTGTTGACAACCTGATCCCAGCGTCTAGATAGAAAACATGGACTATCCCGGCTCAGCTTTTTATTTCAACAAAGTAAAGACAAAAATTCTTCCGATTCAAGTATGATAACAGGGATAAATAGCCTGTCCAACGAGTAGCGTTCAGTTCGCTACAAAACAGCTGAGGTCGCACGGCTGCAGTTGGGAAAATACGGCGGATAAGTAGAGGTCACAATATTCCGTTTGGTCGAAATACCCGTGAGCAATATGAGCTATGTGGGGTCTGGCATCGACATAGGTGATGATATCGTTATTGTAGTTTTCTACTGCTATTTCTTTGTTAATTTGATCGCTAAGAAACAAGCCATACACTTGAGCACCGATGGAGGTTTTTTCCCGACAGAGTCGCTTAAGAGGCACATCTCAGAAATCCGTCGCCGTAATCATCATCCACGTGAACCCACGTGACTTTTCGTGATCCAATTCCCCCGGGTCCAGAAATCTTCATCCGGTTAATCCCAAAGCTGAACCATAGCTTGAGCCTCAGTACAATTCCACCACAAAATTTCGTTTATGAGCAGGGCCCAGTTTGATACTCTTAAATGACGCTATTGGCAGAGAAGATCAATGCTACAGACACCAATTCGATTCTGGACTCCTGCATCTGGGAGTAAATGAGATATTCAAAAACATGTTCTATGGACCATCTCCAATTTTTGGGCACAATTCGCGTAACAGCTGCAGCTAGACTGCAAGTCTCATGGGCAAACATCGCAAAGGTGCAGCATCTGTGATGCGCCATTTGAAATCTCACTTCATTAACCCGCTCTTCTTGGACAAGGTGGGCAATGTGAGCGCGTCCTCAACCACAACTCGCATCCGTTCTTTCTTCTTTGAGCTCTCACACCATATCTTCAACGTAGCACTTCGAGAACACTGTATCACGCGTAAGCTGAGCCAGCACACAGAGAATTTGAGCTGCGAATTTTACGTGTATCACCAATTATTTGGAAATGCCGCCTCGATTTTGGTCACAATGAGTTTTATTATATTTTTAAGTGTTCCCTTCTGCGGTACTACAAACTTAAGTGAGGTATACCGTAGCTAGGTTTGCTAGCTTTGCAACAAAAGCAAGCAGAGTGCTCCAGCTCTTTTACTTTTCCCACCATTTCTCCAGATGTTGAAGAATACCTACAATATATTAGGATTGAGTGTAACAAAAGTTAGCACAGCGCGTGGTTGTAGCATAATATGCCAATCCTCCAACAAAAAACATCTAGCGGTCTAGTTTGACTAGTAGACTTAAATATGGGATGTACCCGATAGCTGTCTCCCTGTTGATGGCGGAATGATGAAGAGCAGAGAATTCCTGTGAGACCAACACCGGTAGTGAGAATAGCATAATACAAAGCTTGCATATACGTCTGTAAAGCAAGCATGATTACGTTATTAAAGCTTAGCCTCAAGCAAATGACTGACTTCTAGTTTGAAAAGCGAGTCTGGCGTCGAAAGTCTCATCAGTATATCCCACACGGTTGGCAGACTTGCTATGGAAGAGAATTGAAGCAGCGACATCATAAATGCCAAGATCACAACAGTCTATACGGATTTAACAAAGATAGATGTTGAATTAAGTAAAAAGGAGCAAAGGAAATCTTAGATGGAGCCCTAAACAAGGACCTTCCCCGAAATAAGGAAGGGGCGGAGCCAGACGAGTTGTAAGAACTTGCCTGCTCCTCGGCTCGACTAACTCGCGCGTTTTAAATTAGCTCTACTTACGCCAAATCCCACATGCGCGTCACCATATGTATCGCCGAAGTACCCTCGCCAAATACAAGATTAATCCGCGTGTTGACTTTGAAGTCTCCCGCTCACCGCGCAATCTTAGAGCCGCTGTAGCCAAGCGATCACTTGTGCTACCTATCCCACTCACTCAATCCGCCAAAGAAGCCGTAGAGCTAAGATTTCCGGAAAACTATTCATCTGCCTGGGTCCCATGCGCTTCGTTCCACCGTCTTAACGCACCCCCCCCATTTCAATAATTTTCAACATAGACTTCTGCTGATAGGTGTTGTTGCTTTCCAAATTACACTGTTAAACCTTAGAGGCTATAAAGTCATTGTTTCCAGTGCAGATCCTTGGCTAGAAATGCCATGGGGTCGAGGAATTCCAACGTAGCAGAGAGGCAATGAGTCATATTGAATGAGACCTGCGTGCCGCTCGAGAAGCATATACATAGGACCTCCCAGTGGTTCGAGAATGATCACTAAAATGCACTGCTCCTCCCTCCCCCAAGTCCAATCGATGGATTTTTTTATGAAAAATGAAGAAGTTCGTGGTGATCGAAGAAATTTGAGAGGAGTAGGGATTCGTATAACTTCGTATACGCTGTCTGATGAGAGAGGGCAGGGAGTCCGTATACGCGGAAATTTTTTTTCGACAATGCAATGCCGGTCCTATGCCCTCCTCCCGTACTCCATCACCTGTCTGACGCCCCCAATTTCACCGAACCATTCCAGTGAGACTTCACTCGCTGACATTTTACAGGATTTTCCAAATGTACCATAATTCTTATTTCTGAAGCAAGAGCATTGTAGAAATTTAAGGAAGAAATTAAGGAGAAACTCATGATTAAGTGAGTGCGGTTTAAGCGATCGGCAGCGGCTGATTAAGGATTGAGGGGCATGTGGCATTTTTTAAAGTCCCATTCTAACTTGGGTTTTCATGCGCTTATCCCGACCGACCTTATTTCCACTGGGATATTGGCGGAAGGCACCAGAGTCCTCCTAACATTAGTTCTGTTTTTGTAAAGCCCTAATTTACCGGTAAACCATGCCAAACCCAGTACCATCCTTTTCGAAAAACTGCAACGTCCTGGTGGGCGTCATAATTTTGTTGTGGTCCTATTCCTTCCTAAAGTTTGAGCACATTCACATACAAAGTTAGGTAGCCTCAATACTAATAACTGCGCTTGCTGACTTGAGAGAAACGGAAGAACAAAGGAACCTACTAGAAACGACTTGGATAAGTTCATCTTATTGTGGAATTGGAAAGAGACACTGGAGAGGAAAAATCTAGCAGACATTGTGCGTCCAGTTGTAGCGGAAATTATCCGTGTACCCCAAACAGGCCCACCGCGCGGCGAAGCAAGAGACGCAGATGCGGCAAAGAGACGAGTTGCAGCGCGTGCTGTGCGATATGAGACGTAGTATGGTACACTCTATTTAACCTGACGCCTAACCGCTACAGTATGCGCTGCGACTCGTCCTTTGCCGCGTCTGCGTCTCTTGCTTCGCCGCGCGGTGGGCCTGTTGGGGGACACCCGAGATCCAGCTACAGCAAGGTTTGATCAGGCTCGGTTTCTATGAAGCTGGTAGCCTTCCAGATTCACCCACCATTAAGAAACGAACGGCATGCTCAATGACATTTCCAGTGATTTCTTTTTTCCAGTGCGGAGGTGATCTCGTGAGGAGTGGCCCACATGCTATGCCTTTTCTCTAACGGGGAATTCATTAGCATCTACTGTTTTATTTTTAAAGGCAAAGTTCGGGCTCAGACCCACCTAAGAAGCCCTTACCATGGCTAGAAGTGCTGGGTACGCAAGTGCAAAGGTAGCGCCACCTTTCTACATCGAAACGCGTCACTAGGACCCTAGGCGCCGCCATGGACTTCTAACAGACTCCACCAAACTTAACATGGTCCGCCCACCGTTCGATATCTTGTCTGCGTCGCTGCGTTGATCTGCTATGCTCTCTCTTCTCGGACTTCTCTACCGCTCTCCGCGCTCACATTATCTCTCATCTCCCTGCCTGTCTTTTGAACTTCTCCACAGCATAGAGCAAAATGCTCGTATTTCCTGTGTATTTCAGGATTTTCTTTCCTTTTTTCTCCATTGGCGGTCCACCTCCCATCCCTACTTTCACATTTGAGTGGAATCAACCCATCAATTTAATCCCGATTCTTGCCTTTAACCCAAAATCTACCCCTCTTTTGCCAATGTAAAATGTGCCTTTAATAATAACATTTTTTATGGTTATTGGCAACCGTATTGATTGAGCTGATTAGAAAAGGATAGAGTAATACACATGGAAACGTACAAGACCAGGACAGCACCAATCGAATTTGTGTCACCCCTTTGTGATACACCACGGTCAGTGCTATATAGGAGAAGAGCAGAAATACCGCTCGCTAAACAAACAGAATTAGCTTAATTCTGATGATTTCAAAAATCGTGAGTAACTCACATCGATGTCAAACGATTTGGGAGTGGCTGTATGCGATCTAAAAAGAGTCGAGTCAAGGAGTTATCAATGGGGAGTTTTATTTGGCAGTCCAGGGCAAGGGTAATTGGGTAGCATCGGCAGTGTTTTCGGAAGGGGGGGGGGGCAGGATTTAGTTAAGGAATAAGAATTTTCAGTCGGATTTGTTTACAGTTTATCAGAATTTTGTATGAGACTGTGAAAATTCAAGCATTCTACAGAAATTTTATGTATTCAATTGAAGAGCTGTTTTGGCTATTTTATTGTAATTTTAGCAAACACCCCTTCCCGCTCGATGGACATACAGAGGAGAGGGAGGCAAAAAAGTCACTTCGCGTGTGACGCGCATAATTAACCTTTCGTTGCACAGGTTGCCGCTGTTGATGGAGTTTTATGGCAAAATTTGTTTATTTATTTATTTGTGACGTTACATGAGGCAGTCGTAAGAAACAAACCTAGAGCATCATCAGTTGTCACAGTACATTTCTACTAACGATAGCTCAATAATTCCTTCTTCACGAGGCGTTTGTGTAGTGAAAAGCAGGGAGAATATTCCTTAGATCTCCCCCATTAGCAGATGTAGGCCATTCTTGTTTGTCATCACCGTCTCCCGAAAATGACGTCATCTACCATCACCGTCGAGCTCAATGAGACCTACTGTAATCCCCAGCTGAAGCTGATTTCTTCAATTGGTTAACTGGTGAATAGCTTCTCAAAGACACTAGCTGTGACTGCAAGACCGCTTTTGACCAGCGCAGACGTCGTAATGGTCTATGGTACCTCGACGACCTCGTTGAGCTCGTACCGTGAACCATGTTTCCGTGGGAAAATCTTCTGATGTCGTCGGTGTAGAAGGCTGTTATGTAATTTTTTTGATAGAATAGAATGTGCTCTTCAATATGCAATTGAGCTCATTCGGTTTGGTTTTGGCAAAGTGTAATTAATTCCGTTTTGAATGTGAGTAAGAGTGACTCTTATTGTTGCCTCCCCCTGCATATTCGAGTAGTTTCAATCTTCGTGTTCTGGTTGGATGAAAGGAAAGGTGACAAGGACCAAGGGCCGGGGTGAATGGTGGGAGCTCAGCTGAAAGCTGATCACTATCAGACAAGTTTCCTCCAAACGCGGTTCCACGGCGGCATTTTTTAGTTGTGTTGAGAAGTGAAATAATGGGTCAGTTAACAGGGTAAGTTGTACCTTGATCGCTGGTTGCAATACTGCTGTGAACCTGATCGGAATTTTTTATAAGGCTTAGATTTTTCAGTTTTGCTCACCTGAAGTACTGTTCTGCTGCCGGCATTATTCTTGTCACATTAGTTGTGTCGTCGATACATTTGGAGCCGTAGAAATATGTACGGTTTTCCTTAGCTCTACAATGCTTGTCGTCCACTATCGATGTGCAGTAGAGATGCGAGTTTTCAACTTAAAAGGAACTACTGAATGATACTTTATCTGAGTTGACTCAAAAATTTGTCCTAACAATCCAAACCATTCCCTACATAGCAAACGTGCACATGCAAATGAAAGTGCGACCGCAGGTAATAGTGAACGATCAGTACCATACTGTTAAGAGCCTTCTACTTGCAAATTATATGTACACTGGTGTGCAAAACTTAGGGACGAACGTAGCTTTTCCAACGACGTGTTACTGGCGCGTAACATGACTCTATGGAACCTAACCACACATACAAAGAGCTGCCACAGGGCACTAAAGAAAGCAGTTAACAGGAACCGTTAAACGGTCCACAAAGCTATCAAAAGGTTATGATACTTCATCTGTCTCGTCCTTAAGTTTTGCACACCAGTGTAAGTAGTGCAATTCTTTGTACCGAGCGATTGACCGTAAAAATGTCCTTAGTGCGCGGTTTGTGTGAAGCGACTAAAGGGATTGCTATCGGTACTCAAAAGGAAGAACTGCCTGGTAACCAACCGGACACCTTAGGCTGTGCTTTTTCATGTCACACGGTATCCCTCGGTAATTTACCAGCCGCAAGAACTTTTATAAAATTTAAATTTGATTATAATTTGTTTTATAATGACATTATTTAATTTTAATTTGTGTTGTGGGCATGCCAAGCATTATAAAATAAGGGGACAAGTCCCAAAAAACGTGCAAAGAAGTCTCATGATCACGTTCCGTAATAACTTCGTATAGCATACATTAGCACGTACGCTACCCCCACTCTACCAACAACCATCGCCGAGATGAATCCAGCAACCCCCGAGAGCGTGAACTGAGCCGAACGAATACTTTCTCTGACGGAATCCTCGACGGAATGTCTCGTCCTGTTCTTGTAAAGTTTCGTCGACAGATTCTCTCAGCCCTTTCGTAGTAACTATTTTCTCCAATGGGTCATACAAGATGTAAACCTGCGAAAACAATAGACTTGCACTACCCCAAGCCCCTCCCCGCTTGAATTCATTTGTTGGCAAGCAAGTGATAGCTTGGCACTCAACTCAAATGTCCACATTCTATTGAAAATGCAGATATGAGCGTTGTACAAAAAAGATACTACGAAAACATCCAAGGAGAAATATTGTCATTCCAAACCCTAGTATTGATGTAAATATTACAAAGTCAATATAAAACAATATAGTCCAGGATATTGTTATGTAAGAGTTATGTTAAAGGCAGTGGTCATGATGGTTGGAGGGTGGTGTGATTTCGATTACATCATTGGACATCAGTGGTGGAAGGGCGTAAAGCAACAATCGCAAGTCGGATTCTGCGGAGTAAAAGCGATTTATAATGAAAAATGGATGGCGAGTTGACCGCAAATGGAAAAAAAACGAAGAAAAACCGCCGATAGCTCTAAACAAGGCCTTTTTGAAATGAGGAAGGGGTGGGGCCGGACGAGCTGTACGAACTAGCTTGCTAGACTGGCATTCATTGCTGGCTCGTGCCAGCAAGAAGTGCGGCTGCAATCGCATATGAACCAATACAAACAAATACATGACCAATACAACATAGTTAGCAAGATAAATCAACCCAAACACGCCAGCGCGATTCCTTGAAATTGTCGACAGTTTACACGCAATCGCGCAAAGACCACGCAGCCAATATCGCTAGCAATTGGGTGGAGGAATGGAATAGGCGGGAAAATGGCGTTGGCACATATTAAAGTACCTTTTAGTGTCTTCCCAAGGTAAGTTTTTGTTCACCGACACATGCTCTAGACTAGGCTCACGATCTTTTCACACGATGTGCGAAAATGTGATCCCGATGGAAATATTACTTTAGGAGCGCTCTTCCAAATATTTAGTTGTAACCTTGAAAATGTTCGCTTCATCTTTAATCGCTTCCTTTAGTGGCTTTGTTTCTCAGCTGAAACTCAACCTCGTAATATGGGAGACCATCCATTCGAGAGAGCCATTCAGTGCGCATATTGCGAAACCTTAGCCGTCAGTGAGCGGATGTTCTTCGAGCCAAAACTTTTGCTCGAATATGATTGATCAGAAAACATCGCCTGAGCGTGTATACTCAAGCAAGGAAAAACAGCCAACGAATCCCACTCATTACGTGCAAAACATTGAGCAGCAACACTCAGTCTCTGGTGCACTTTCAGCTATGGTTTCAGCTCTTCCAAGACTGAGGTAAAGGAGCTGATGACGATGGTCGTGGATTCTGACCTCTAGCTCCAGATGAAGGAGAAATAAAGAAGGCCAACGAATTGAGTCCTCGACATACCGCACAAAACTTGCATGGAGATTCAGTTGTGTCAACAGAAAAATTTGAAAGTTCCTACGTGCGACTGTTAGGGCCTTTCAGGAAAGAAAATGGGTTCGGCCTATTCTGAGCGACACGAGCAAGCAGTATTGGTTGCCAATACTTGAACTCTGCTGCATAACTCCAAGAAGAAGAAGGTTCCTGACTTCGTTGAAGGCGTGTTTTACAGAAGGATGTTCCCCGATAACAAAGTGAGAAGATGGCCGTGGTTGGCAACAGATGGGCAGCTGAGGGCCTCTCCGAAACCGGACAGCCACAGAGAAAAAGTCTTGCTACAGTGTGGTGAAGCAGTATAAGAATGGCTTACTATGGAGAGCTGATTGTGCGTCATATAGTTACAGCTAAACTCTGCGCACAACATCCCGCAGGCGAGGATCGGGCTCTACGTAGTCAAAGGGCAAATTCGGTCATTGAAACATTTTGGCACGATAATGCAAGATCACATGTCGCGAAAATTTTGCAACAAGAAATCGAGGAGTTGGGCTGGGACGCTCTCCTCTCTCGCGCCATACAGAGCTCAGACCGCCCTGTACAGTCACTGAGCACCTTAGACCAAATACGCACCCCTTAGCAGCCCAAATATCATTCAATGACCGACGACGTCAAAATTGAGTACCTATTCTTCGAGTCGTACCTGGAAGTTCTACGAGGTAGACCTCCATGCTTTGCATAACAAAAGGTGGAGAGTGGATGACACACATAAAGGAAATAAATTAGGTTGATAAGCTTTGGTATAGCTTTTATACTTAAAATAATCTTTGATCAAAAACGACATTTCAAAGTTACCAACCTAATAGATACTCAGCACCTATCCCTTCACCGTCTTGATCACATTGCCTTTAGGTCTCTGTTGGATTTGATCAGGGAGCAAGTGGTCGAAAATGTCATCAAAGCAACAGTCCCAGCAGGGTTTTCACCTTCGACACTAATGGTGTGGAACGATGCGCTAGCCCTAGTCAAGAACATAAGAAGTGTGACTGAACAAAAAACTCACCTTGAAAGCCGCTAGAAAGGGAGCTGAACGCTTCGAAGTGGGCGTGGCTATTCGTATGCTGGTGGACTGCACAACAGCGATTCAACACGGCCACAATCAGCCGTGCAGCCTCCCCTTCAGCGCTTCGACTATTTTTTGTCAGTCACGCTGCATACGTTCTTGACTAGGACTAGCGCATCGTTCCACTACCACCACGCACCATTAGTGTCGAAGGTAAAAACCCTGCTGGGACTGTTGCTTCAACGCCATAACCCTACGGAGGTTTTTGGTCGACTTGGCCAACCATCGTATCGCTGCTTTCACGTTTACGCTTTATTAGCATTTTGACGAATCTAAGGCCAAGTTGTTTCGCCTAACCCTCTGACCGTAGTTATAATTAATGGGGTGAAACTCCAGTTCGGGGCACTCCATTGCTATCTTATCCGTAGTACTAGAGAGCAGTTCTTTGGGCTATCGAACACTACGGATAAGATAATAAGTGAACGACTCATTTCGAGCGTACTTTTGATAAGGACCGGTGGATGTCCTACATTCCACACTACCTGCCCACATCCCATCCACTTTTCTGCACAGGTGATCCACCCTGGAGCTCCTGCACCCTTAGCCCTTTGCGGAGGTGTCCTTTCTCCTGGTCCAGGACCGTTCCCTTGGGTCATGGCAGGCGGAAATGTGAAAACGTTTCAGGGTTTCTCACCCATTACACCAATATTTATCAGAAGTCTACTTTAAATGAGTCGATTACGTGTCGTGAGCCCTCTAATCCTTATCTTGAGTATTGGAAAAAAAATGGAGTGCCCCCCCCGAACTGGAGTTTCACCCGTGAATGTACTCTTGAATAATCGTCCATACATATGAAATGTTTTCCAAACACCTGCTTGACATAGCTGACCAACAAATATCTCCAAATGCAGGAGAGGAAACACAATGAAATAGATCATCAGTAGATACACCAGGAGGAAGAAAGCTGAATTTAGAGGATTCTGGCCAGGCCCCAACAAAGCAAGCGATTTTGAGCAATATAAGGGCGGAAGTGAAAATAGGAAAAGAGAAGAGTTTCGAACCACCGCCGTTTTTAACGAATTCTCCTTGAAAATAGAGAAAGTTAACATCTGATGTAACCAACAGCAAAACCACAGCCAATCGGTCACTTGGGCTTTGTTTACATCCCGATCTGGAAAATAACGTTGCTTGAACTTTTAATATACAGTTGGTAATTCAAGTGGCGAGCTTACCGATCTTCTCATGCAACTTGTCCCACCACTGTCTCGGTCTCGTTAACTGTCTTCAAGAAATAATACTGTAACCGTTGCTAATATTTTCGAACATCTTATTTAAAGGAGGAATTCACGATTAGAATGAAGGTCGAAGAAAGGGAAACTGACCTAGTTGAGGGACCCACGGACCTCCTGAGGGTGCGAACTGACGCGCAATTCGCATGGAAAAATTTGACCTCGGCGACCTATCATGCCTCAAAGCTGGCGGGTCCGGCGATCTCCGCCCACCGATCATCTGATCACTCGCCGTAGTTCAATACGTGGCGAGTGATTAGATAGCTGAGAGAGCGTAGTGTTGAAGAGGGCACAGCGATGAGAGTCGCATCAATGCTCGAATCAACGGGCAAGGAAGGGGTCCCATTTCTCGGGTTCTGGGCCGTTTCTCATGGTTCTTCCTTCTTTCGTGTACCACTCACCATCCCTAGGTTAATTTGAAATGGGTTGCTTTTTCATCGTGAATTCGTCCTTTAAGTTTGTAGCAGAGTTTACCTGCAGTAAGTCCTGACGTACGTCGGAGGCAGCTTCTTCCAGTACCCTCGGACGTATACTTCGCAAATCCTGAACTCATCGCTTGAAACCACAGTAGCACAGTTAGCGTTCTTAGGGGTTCGCGAAATGTCGAAAACGTCTCCATGGGGGAGGTCGTCATATTGGAAAAATGGGCAGTGTGTTGTGAGAGATTAAAATTATATCATATTTTTTAGATCTTCTGGGTAATGTTGAGGACCAACAGGTTAACCCTCTGTCATGGACATATACATGGATGGACCTTACTTGGAAGGGGCGACAGTGACACAAAATCGCACACAAGCCGCGTGGCATATAGCGCGCAGAATCCCGCCTTTTATACCCATCTCCTACTAAGGTTTAAGGATGCCAGGCGATGTCACTAAAATTTCATCAAACACTTTGTAGTAACAACTGTTCTTTGTTTCTAAATGTGTCTGGAGCCTTCTAGTCACAAGGTTTTTTTATAATATCGAGATTTCAAGAATTACAGATTGAATTTCGCCCTGTGCTTACTGGGGCTTGGCATGCGCCTCGTCCCATGGGCGCGCAAAGCAAAAATGCATTCGTCCTCAAGGTGTTAAACGCTCCATCTCTGAATCACGTCTAAGAAATTGCTTGCCCTACCATTCTACTTACTATGAAGCGCTTCGTTTGTCGTTGTGCGGGCCTGTCACGAAGTTCTCTAGATCCTGGAGATCCGTCTGTGAGACCGGATCAAGTGTGGGGTGGGTGGGCATGTCTCGAGAAGTGCAAAAGATGCGTCAGCTGGTAACCAGTAGCGGCTGATCAGGAAGTTTTGTATTTGAGTTCTAGCAAATTCGTTGTGGCCTCTGCGATGACAGCAGAACCTTAACCCTTACATATTGCGTGGGAGTTCTGTCGGGAACACTGGAATATTTTTATTTTTTTCTCAATGTGTTATCATTATTTCTGTTTGCTGGCTCTAGTTGGATCTTTGGGTCAGATGCACTTTTATTTATCACTAATTACTTGAAGAGCAGAAGTGGTGTAGTGGCAAGTGGCACGCTCATCACGCGAGCGGTCCGGGGATCAAATCCTGGGTCGTGTGTCGCCGGCGCACGAGCACTTCATTCCAGAGGGTCGGTTTAATTGGTGGTACCAGACTTGTCTGGGAGGATAAAAACACTGACTTGTACCCGCAAGTCATTGTATAGGCCACATCGCATTCAAACGCCACTACGAATGTACAAATGGAAGTAGAATGCGTGCCGCATCCCAAAAAGGGATTGATCAACGGCAAATGCTTTATCCTTTATCCTTTAATTACTCAGAGAGTAAGTGCCACTTGTCGTTCGCAAAACATCGTGCTTACAAGCCGTCTACAAGGTGGCGGCTCGGTTCCGGAAGTGACATATGTGTGTGAGTGGAAACTGCAGAAGGAAACTGGTAGACTATGCTCCAGACTCACATAGCAAAGTAACTATTTGTAGTTCATATAGAACTCACTGCATCGCCTTCTGTAACATTCCATGGTATAATACGAATGATTCTCTGCCAAAATTCTGGATACGGTCGTACGGTTTCGTATTGCGACACTTTCGCGTACTTGGATGCTTCTGCTTGTTCTGTTTCCGCCGGTGTTGTTTGAGGTCTTGATTGAGCTCTAGACGATTGAGGTCTTGATTGAGGTCTTGATTGAGCTCTTGACTGCGATCCTGACTGGGGTCTTGATTGAGGTCTTGATTGAGGCCTTGATTGTGACCTCGATTGAGGTTTCGATTGAGGCCTCGATTCAGCTTCCGACTCAGGTATTGATCTAGGCTGAACAAGAACTTTCAAGAACGACCATTTTCTGCGCAACTTTGTTTGTAAGGATGTAACTTAGAAGCTGAATAGCGATGAGACTTTGTGTGGTACGCACACTCTTTTGCTTTTGAAAATTTCCTCACTTGTAATCTTTTTCTCTATTTTTGAGTATTCTGCCCCTACGCTTTTACAAATTACCTATGCCACTTGCTTTCTTTTTCCCCTCCACAACAGCCATTACTTTTTAAAAAGTCAGGTGGCTCCATGGAATAGCTCACCGGCGGCGCGGATGCGAGCGCGTGCAGGTGACGTCAATTTGACGTCACAGCAGCGGGGAGGGATTGGGCAAGACAGGCGCCATTACTTCATAACATTACATATTCGACGACTGGGACTTCATCGACTCGGACTTCACTGTGCAATGAGCAGAAGTAATAACGAAGAATGGACTTAAAGCCACGAGTCAGGATTAGGTGACCATAGAAGGCCTTTCCATCACTAATATTTCCAGGAATGCGCTCAGAGGGGTGATGCCACACTCCTGACTCGAGATTGCGCGCCGTCAAGGCCTCTGGCCTACTACTTACAGCGATGGGTTCCATCAGCTGGTCCCGCCCACCGCGGGATGTGGTGCGTGGCTGGCCTAACGTGTGAGATCAGCTAGGTTTTTATTTATTTATCATGCGTTAGTGAACGCGCTAGACCATGACATACTAATTAGGAGCAAGTATGGCCGAGTAAGATAATTTCAACAAATTGTAAAATAACAACAAAAACAAAAAAGGGCACGTGAAAAATAAGAGAACTAATAATGACTAAACGACGACCAGAAATGATAAGGTTTTGCGGAAGAGGAAGGATGAGATAGCGTGAAATGGAATGCCACTAAGAACGCAATTTGCCTGTCAAGTGGATTGGTGAATGCTTCTGAATGATGTAATGAGTAGAAGATGGGTGGGAAACTTTCGCTACTCTGTAGTCGAATGGCGGGGTACTTTCTGTTCAACTCGAGAGCACACGACGCGAGTCATGCCGCAATCGCCACGCACGTCTATACCCAGAAGCTACCTATAGCACGAGCCTGCATCAGTCGGCAATGATGCCCGCTCGCCACATGCGGGGTCATAGGTACTTGCCGCAACTTCGAAACACGGGTATACCGACCACCCTCGTGGAAACGGCAAGCAAGGCAAGAGTACGGGTAAGCCACTAGTAGACGTGCGAAGGGATTGGCCGCATACTCAGTATCCGAGTGTCAGTGACAGGCAGAACGCTAAAGAGCGAGTAATCAACACGAGAAATATCCGGCAGGTCTGTGAAGCAAGGCGGCGCACCGCTTGACAGACAAACTGGGTCAGCAAGATGACAACAATACATCAAGCCACATCCATGATACCAAGCACTTCCAGGAGATTGATCTTTCGGATGGCGGATTTCAATAGCTTCGAGTTGTTCAGGGCCAAGATTGTGCGTGGGAGAGCCATGGTGGTTGTGAGATCAGCTATGAGTGATTGCCGTATCAACCGATGGAACGGCTGGCATATCCGGAAAACTCGTTTGGACGTGGCTCTCCCCCGAGCAAGCCTCCTTCACTGCTAGAAGGGAAGGGGTTTCGATTTCGGTCTTGTCGACGGTTTCTTTGCGTTTTTTCTTCACTGTCGTTCCACCTCCCATCTCTACACTCAATTTCAGGCGCCATAATGCCCAAACACGAGCCTGACTTTTGCCTTTAAGTAAGCAAGTTCCGATTAGAATGGCTCGTTGGGTTTTGAATTACGAAACCAGTTCATTCTTAGAATTCGCCCAAACAAATTCAAATTTTCGACGGCGTAAAATTGTAAATACAACCTCTTTGCTTACGGCACTACTGACTGCACCAATTAGTGAGTCCCAGCAACCCTTCTATCATCCAAGCGAAGTGACAACAACGCTTCTATCTCGCCCTCTCGTCGCCGTTTTATCGCAGCTTGTGACGTCACCTGCACGCGCTCGTGTCCGCGCCGCGATGAGCTTTTCTCTCCCTCCAGGCCAGGTTAACGTGTAGAATCTAAGTGAATATTTCAGTAGCACAGTTGGCGTAGTTGGGTGGCAACAAGTGTATCAACAATAGGGAAGGAATGGTAATAACGAATAACACAACATGTGCTGGCAACCGTCGTCACATAGGAGCGAGGGGTCGTATTTGGAATTTCCCGTCGACGCCTCGCTTAACCCTGGCTGCAATGTTTACTTGTTCGCGATGTACGTGGTGCCTGTGATCTCTCCTACGACCTGCGCTCTCGCGTACTGCCTCTCCTCAGAACTTCCTTCCACGGCCACACCTCTGTGACGGAAAGTCTGCTGATGTGCGCCATGGGAATGACTTTTTATTGGTCCCATGCCCCTGTACTTATTGAGTTACATGTACGGGGGGGGGGCAAAAAAAGTCACTTTGCCCATGGCGCACATCATCAAATTTTCGTCGCACAGGATGCCGTTGTTAATGAATGTTTTACGGCAAATATTCCTTAGGTGTCCCCCCATAAGCAGAAGCAGGCCCTCCTTCACTGCCCCACCGTCTTCAGAATATGACGTCATCTGCCGTCACCGTCGAGCTCAGCGGGGCTAGCGAATAGCTTCTCAGAGACGCTAGCTGTGACTGTGCAAGACCTCGACCAGCGTTTCAGGGACGTCGTAATGGTCTATGGTACTCGACGACCTCGTTGAGCTCGTACCGTGAACCATGTTTCCGTGGGAAAATCTTCTGATGTCGTCGGTGTAGAAGGCTGTCATGTAACCTTTTGATAGACTAGAATGTGCTCTTTAATATGCAGTTGGGCTCATTTGGTTTGGTTTCGCAACGCGTTTTGAATGTGAAGGGAAGGAATCCTGTTCTTGCCCCTCCCTCTATGTATTTCAGGAGATGCTAGTTATCTTCGGTCTACACCACTTTGAAATGTTTCCTCCTTCGCTGCTTTTATGGTGGATCTGTTTGGGAGCTGTCGTAGATTTTGGCGCTTTTGATCTCTACGTCGTTTAAGCATCTGTTAATGGTGATATAGAATGACAGGAGTCATAAGTCAAACAAAAATACATGTAATTCATAAATAAAATTCATTGCGTCACACCTTGCTAGGTTTTGTTCGAGATCCCTTTGCGAGTTCTTCGAGTGCTTTTGAGAGTTTTGCACGACCCTGAACTCAAACTAATGAAAATGATGGTGATTGTGTCATACTGAACTGGAGTTGCTAACAACAGCGCTAAATTCTTCCTAATTATAAGTTTTTGTTGGCTGGTTATATATAAGACAAGAGTGGTCCCCCGTCAACAGCCGGGACGTTGCTTCCCTGCGTGAGCTCCACGTCTTCCGCTGTGGTCCTTCCACTTGTGTATAATAGAATGAGACTGAGTGTGCTCGATCGGTGTTTATATAGCCGTTGTGGGTGTTATCAGAATCACAACATCACGTTAGAGTAATACGTCAACACGGATATAGCCTTCCTCTTGAAAGCGGTTGTTCTCCTCCCTGCATCCTCTCCCACCCCCTCTTCTACCTCCCCCTTGCCCCTCCGGCTGCCACGGCAGCACCATGTCCTCCCTCCCTTTCTCCTCTCTCCCTCCCTCCTTCCCTCTCTTTTTCCCCTCCCCCTCCACCCTCTTATTTTTTGAAAAAGTCCAGGTGGCTCGTGGAAAATAGATCACAGGCCGGAGCGGAATGGATGCGAGCGCGTGCAGGTGACGTTATTGGACGTCACAGCAGTAGAGAGAGATTGGGCAAGACAGGCGGTATCAGTTCATAACATTTCATGTTCGACGACTGGGACTTCATCGACTCGGACTTCACTGTGCAATGAGCAGAAGTAATAACGAAGAATGGACTTAAAGCCACGAGTCAGGATTAGGTGACCATAGAAGGCCTTTCCATCACTAATATTTCCAGGAATGCGCTCAGAGGGGTGATGCCACACTCCTGACTCGAGATTGCGCGCCGTCAAGGCCTCTGGCCTACTACTTACAGCGATGGGTTCGTTTCATCAGCTGGTCCCGCCCACCGCGGGATGTGGTGCGTGGCTGGCCTAACGTGTGAGATCAGCTAGGTTTTTATTTATTTATCATGCGTTAGTGAACGCGCTAGACCATGACATACTAATTAGGAGCAAGTATGGCCGAGTAAGATAATTTCAACAAATTGTAAAATAACAACAAAAACAAAAAAGGGCACGTGAAAAATAAGAGAACTAATAATGACTAAACGACGACCAGAAATGATAAGGTTTTGCGGAAGAGGAAGGATGAGATAGCGTGAAATGGAATGCCACTAAGAACGCAATTTGCCTGTCAAGTGGATTGGTGAATGCTTCTGAATGATGTAATGAGTAGAAGATGGGTGGGAAACTTTCGCTACTCTGTAGTCGAATGGCGGGGTACTTTCTGTTCAACTCGAGAGCACACGACGCGAGTCATGCCGCAATCGCCACGCACGTCTATACCCAGAAGCTACCTATAGCACGAGCCTGCATCAGTCGGCAATGATGCCCGCTCGCCACATGCGGGGTCATAGGTACTTGCCGCAACTTCGAAACACGGGTATACCGACCACCCTCGTGGAAACGGCAAGCAAGGCAAGAGTACGGGTAAGCCACTAGTAGACGTGCGAAGGGATTGGCCGCATACTCAGTATCCGAGTGTCAGTGACAGGCAGAACGCTAAAGAGCGAGTAATCAACACGAGAAATATCCGGCAGGTCTGTGAAGCAAGGCGGCGCACCGCTTGACAGACAAACTGGGTCAGCAAGATGACAACAATACATCAAGCCACATCCATGATACCAAGCACTTCCAGGAGATTGATCTTTCGGATGGCGGATTTCAATAGCTTCGAGTTGTTCAGGGCCAAGATTGTGCGTGGGAGAGCCATGGTGGTTGTGAGATCAGCTATGAGTGATTGCCGTATCAACCGATGGAACGGCTGGCATATCCGGAAAACTCGTTTGGACGTGGCTCTCCCCCGAGCAAGCCTCCTTCACTGCTAGAAGGGAAGGGGTTTCGATTTCGGTCTTGTCGACGGTTTCTTTGCGTTTTTTCTTCACTGTCGTTCCACCTCCCATCTCTACACTCAATTTCAGGCGCCATAATGCCCAAACACGAGCCTGACTTTTGCCTTTAAGTAAGCAAGTTCCGATTAGAATGGCTCGTTGGGTTTTGAATTACGAAACCAGTTCATTCTTAGAATTCGCCCAAACAAATTCAAATTTTCGACGGCGTAAAATTGTAAATACAACCTCTTTGCTTACGGCACTACTGACTGCACCAATTAGTGAGTCCCAGCAACCCTTCTATCATCCAAGCGAAGTGACAACAACGCTTCTATCTCGCCCTCTCGTCGCCGTTTTATCGCAGCTTGTGACGTCACCTGCACGCGCTCGTGTCCGCGCCGCGATGAGCTTTTCTCTCCCTCCAGGCCAGGTAACGTGTAGAATCTAAGTGAATATTTAGTAGCACAGTTGGCGTAGTTGGGTGGCAACAAGTGTATAACAATTAGTATAAGGATAGCTATACAAGTCATTGTATAGGCCACATCGCATTCAAACGCCACTACGAATGTACAAATGGAAGTAGAATGCGTGCCGCATCCCAAAAAGGGATTGATCAACGGCAAATGCTTTATCCTTTATCCTTTAATTACTCAGAGAGTAAGTGCCACTTGTCGTTCGCAAAACATCGTGCTTACAAGCCGTCTACAAGGTGGCGGCTCGGTTCCGGAAGTGACATATGTGTGTGAGTGGAAACTGCAGAAGGAAACTGGTAGACTATGCTCCAGACTCACATAGCAAAGTAACTATTTGTAGTTCATATAGAACTCACTGCATCGCCTTCTGTAACATTCCATGGTATAATACGAATGATTCTCTGCCAAAATTCTGGATACGGTCGTACGGTTTCGTATTGCGACACTTTCGCGTACTTGGATGCTTCTGCTTGTTCTGTTTCCGCCGGTGTTGTTTGAGGTCTTGATTGAGCTCTAGACGATTGAGGTCTTGATTGAGGTCTTGATTGAGCTCTTGACTGCGATCCTGACTGGGGTCTTGATTGAGGTCTTGATTGAGGCCTTGATTGTGACCTCGATTGAGGTTTCGATTGAGGCCTCGATTCAGCTTCCGACTCAGGTATTGATCTAGGCTGAACAAGAACTTTCAAGAACGACCATTTTCTACGCAACTTTGTTTGTAAGGATGTAACTTAGAAGCTGAATAGCGATGAGACTTTGTGTGGTACGCACACTCTTTTGCTTTTGAAAATTTCCTCACTTGCAATCTTTTTCTCAATTTTTGAGTAATCTGCTCCCTACGCTTTTACAAATTACCTATGCCACTTGCTTTCAGTGCATCAACAATAGGGGAGGAATGGTAATAACGAATAACACTGCATGTGCTGGCAACCGTCGTCACATAGGAGCGAGGGGTCGTATTTGGAATTTCCCGTCGACGCCTCGCTTAACCCTGGCTGCAATGTTTACTTGTTCGCGATGTACGTGGTGCCTGTGATCTCTCCTACGACCTGCGCTCTCGCGTACTGCCTCTCCTCAGAACTTCCTTCCACGGCCACACCTCTGTGACGGAAAGTCTGCTGATGTGCGCCATGGGAATGACTTTTTATTGGTCCCATGCCCCTGCCCCTGTATTGAGTTACATGTACGGGGGGGGGGGGCAAAAAAAGTCACTGCGCCCATAGGCACACATCATCAAATTTTCGTCGTATAGGCTGCTGTTGTTAATGAATGTTTCATGGTGAAATATTATCTAGCGGTCCCCACATAAGCAGAAACAGGGTCTCCTTCACTGCC